CAAATATTTTACATCGATATAATCAACGAAGATTAGGTTTAATTGAAGGGGCTCAAAGATTGACTGAATGTTTTCGTTTAATTAATAAAAGTATTGAAAATGGTTATACTTGGCGGTTAATGCTTTATCATCAACAAAAATATTATTCAATGAGTATTAGTTACTTTAAATGTCCAAACTTTATGACAAAACTTTTGGAAAGAAGTGATTAAAGAATGAATAATTTTATTAAAAAATATCTATTTTTTACCCCTTCGTTTTGTTCAAGAAAAGTTACTTTTAGCGGTTGATTCTGTACGGGAAATAGTCAATTAAACTACAATTTTACCTTTTATCACTCTTATTCTTATTTTTTATTTTATTTTTTTTACTTCATTCCTTCCGTATTTTCTATTGACCTCATCAATACACACTGTTTATAAATTTATTTCGACTTTTAAAAGTTAATAAGCGTAAATTTCCTATGTACGATTCATAAATTTCCTACAAAATTGGAAAACATTTTTGGGGTATTAATTTTTTAAGTCCACTGTAATATAAGCCCATCGCTACACGATGGCCGTGCTTCGCTGCGGTCTTGCTCGCTTCGCTCGCGGCGACCGTAGCGAACCGGCGGCCGTCGTTCCGCTCGACATGCCCGGCTTCCTCCGCAGCGGCAAAAACTTTTTTCCGCGAAAACCTCGTGGAAGGGGTGAATACAAACGATCATAACTTTGTCAAATCAAGTCAGATTTCGGTGATTTTGGTGTGATTCGTCTCAGCTCGGCGACCCTTTCGAATGGGGCATAATTTGCATATTAGAATTTTTTACCCCAAAATTTTCAAATTTCGGGGGTCTGTAACTCGGCCATATGAAGTCGGGTTTCGTTTATTTTGGTGTCATTCGACTCAGCTTGATGAGCTCTTTCGAATGAGGTATAATTTGCATTTTCGAATTTTTCACCCCAAAAAAGTGCTTGGTCCCCCCTATGGTTTTTCGATTTTCGGAGGCCTATATCTCAGCCCCTCTTTGACTATTTCGGCTCTGTTCGTTTTCCGAAATTATACCGATGAATAGGGAAAAGAAACGAGCTATCACATTTTTTCACTCTCTCTGCTTTCTTCACGTTTTCTTACAAAGAGGAAAAAAGAATGAACGAGGCACGAGGAAAAAAGACGGGAGAAAAATGTTAGACACAATAAATAAAGAGGAGATGGGCGTGTTGGTTAATCAACAAAATCCGACTTGATTTGCCCGAAATACAGACCCCTGAAAATTGAACAACCACAGGGGTGAAAAACCATAAGGACGAAAATTTATACAAATGATAGCTCATTCGAAAGAGCTCGTCGAGCTGAGTCGAATGACACAAAAATCGACGTAATCGGACAAGATTTGACAAAGATATGACATAATTCGTCGACTCCAGTAGATCTTAATAATGGCAGAACTTTGTAAATCTTTACGATTTCGTTGATTTTGATGTCATTTGACTCAGCTCGACGAGCTCTTTCGAATGAAATATTATTTACAAAAAATTTTTTAATTTCAAGAATCCCCCCTTTGGTTGTTCAATTTTCAGGGGTCTGTATTTCGGTCAAATCAAAGCGGATTTTATTGATTTTGGTGTCATTCGACACAGCTTGTGTGTTCTACAATTGTTGTACAGACTGACCATTTTTACATATTTTTCGAAAAAAACTGACAATGGGGGGGGGGGGGAGTAAACAGTTTTTTAATTTCAAGAATCCCCCCTATGGTTGTTCAATTTTCGACTCAGCTCGACGAGCTCTTTCGATTTGTTTATTAAATATAAAAACACTACACCCTGGTTTATATTAACAATTTAGTAATTAATAGCTTAATTAATATTTTTTTAAACTCCAAAATTGAAACTATTTTTTAAATTATTGATTATAAAAATTAATTTTCGTTTCACTTAAATTTTTTGTTTAATTAGCTGTTTGGATAAATTTAAGTTTTTTAATTTAAATAGAATTTTGTTTATTAAATATAATTTTCTCTCCCAAAAAGATAAAAGAAAGCGTTTAGACGTTAACTAAATTGAGTAAATCCAATCATCCTTTTTTAAAAGTTGTTGGCAAGTTATGTTTAATAGCTTTAAATTATCTCTCTTTAATTTTTGTTTAGAAAATTTATTTGTTTATTTGGCTGATAATTTTTAAAAAACTTAAACAAAAATTGGATTCTGCCATACCAAAATAATTCGCTTAATTTTTAAAATTTAATATACAACTAATTTTGCTTACAATTTTTTATATTTAATGATATATATAAAAATTATTTTAAAATCTAATATACACCAATTTATTATCCCTTTTTTATGATAATAAAATTTATTTTTTTTGTGTGGAAACTTTTTACTAGATGATATTTTTTGATAATCTATTTATTTATATTTATTTTAATATTTTTGTCAGAAAATACATATAGGATAGTATCTATCTGTATTTTCAAGGCAAAGTATTAATAATATAAAAAGCTATTTATATATGTGATAAAGGGCGAGAAGTAAGTAAAGATTAGGTTTTACAAGTTTGAAATATATGTATGTAGGTTAAGAAAATGTTGATAAGAAACTATAAAGAGAAATAAATTCAAATAATGTTTATTTTTATTATTTGAAAATAAATAATAAATAATCCTAAAATCTGGATCCAACACGTCTTTTCCACCGTCTACCAAAAATAATTATTTTATACGTGATCCGATCTTAAATTTAATCATTAATTATTAGCTAATTATGCATTGTCACATTATAATAAATTTATATTTTTTCTAGAAAAATGTATTATCTTTTAATTTTCGCGTATCTCTCTTTAATTGTTGCTTTGAAAATTTGTTTGTGTATTTAGCTGTTAATTCTTTAAAAATTAAAAATGAAGCTGAATTCAGCCATACCAAAGTCATTCACACAAACAATTTTGCCAACAATTTTTTTATATTTAATGAAATATAAAAAAATAATTTTAAAATCTAATATACACCAATTTATTATCCCTTTTTTATGATAATAAAATTTATTTGTTGTGTGTATAGGGTTGTATTCACATTAATTTTAATTTTTCTGACATTTGCTTTGAGATCCAAAATAGAAAGATATAAAGTATGCGAAAATTGGAAGGACCTTAGGGACTTGCCGGGTTAGTATGATCTAACTTGACTGAAAACTCCTCTTATCCAGAGTCTAACAAAAATAATTAATTTATATGTAACCCTATTTTCATTATAATAAATTTTATTTTTTCTATAAAAAATATACCAATTTATTTTAAAAATGGAAAGTAACTTTATTAAACAATGCAAAGTTTGTGGAACAAAAGAAAATGTTTGTTTTCATTATGGAGTTCGCACATGTAGGGCTTGTGGGGCTTTTTTCAGGTATTTTTTATTTTTGTTATATTTTTTTTGAAAGAACTACTACTCCATAGATGGGCTTTTTTGTATTTTTAAAAGCAAAATATGGAAGAGATACCATTGCTGGTACTTATGCCGCCCCCTCCTCCCCACAGTCCGCTTTTTCTTCTTGCACGGAAAAAGTAAAGTTTCCTTTCTTCCTCCTCATTTGGAGGAAGAGGAAAAGGAAAATAGAGTGGCCGGCCATTGTATTAGAGACTTTATGGTAATTAAAAATCCTTTAAAAGGCGTTATCTTGAAAACGAAACGAAACGCAAATATAAATGTAAATGTTTGTCAAAACAATTGTCTAATGAGAATAAAGACGGAAAATCCGAAACAAATTTGCCAAAATGTAGAAAATGTAGACTTGAAAAATGTCTTTCTGTTGGAATGAAAAGATTAAGTTTGTTAAATTTAGAGCTCAAACCTTTCAAATTGCCGGGCTCTTATCTGGGTACTTTGTTCATATCCTGCCCCTACCCCTATGTTAGTCTCAGATTAATTTTCATTTTTACTGTAAATCATTTATTTTTTTAATGCCAATGATTTTCTCCGTAAATATGGGAAACCCTAGCGCGCGGCCATAGCGACGCAGAGCCAAAACTTGCTGGAATATTTCTGGCCCTTGTCATTTTTGGTACATATCAGTCTTTTTAGTACATATCAGTCTCTTTTATGGCTCTGTGCCGTTATGGCTGCGTTTTTTATCTATTTTTTAGGATATGAACAAAGTACCCTTATCTTTGTTCTTTCAATCACAGGCCGTGGTTTTTCGAAAACACAATCAAAAACACAAAAAACCCTGATTTTATCATTATACCAGGTTTTCAAGATATTGGGCCGGAATATCCGATCTCGGCTCGGGTTTGAGCTCTAGTTAAAATATTTAAAAACGATTTTTTAATAAAAAAGTGATTTTAGATGTTGTATATCTACGTCAAGATCTATGCCATGATGAAATGAAAGAAGGAAGGAAGGAAATTAACGTAAGTCTATTTATTCAAAAATCTTTCTATAAATTCTAGTGATGTTCGGGAGAACAAAAAACCCGGGAAACGGGAGTCGGGTCGGGAAATGACCTCGTGAGTCAGTATCGGGAGTCGGGAATTTTCAACAATTTTAATTGTTAAAAAATTTTTAACATTCAAAATAATTATTCATTAAACTTAAAAACTAAATTTATTAATTTATTATTAATAAATTAATTATTATTATACATATGTAGGTTTGAATTTAATTTAAATTTCAAAAACTAGCGTATTATAGGCTAGTTTTAAACAAGTAAAATAATTAGATTAGAAGTTTAAATAGAATTAGAATTATTATGATATTAGAGATTTGTTCACTAGAAAATTATTGTTAAAAATATAAACTAGAGCGGAACAGGGTTTTCATCTACGGATTGTCCGGTAGCTGGTAAGATATATTATACAACAGATAAATATGCATACTTATGAATATGCAATTGTTTGATTAGGCAACACACGTACATCCACTTTTTATTCTTAAGCTTTCAAATCCTCAAATTGTCGACATAACCACCAAAGATCGACAACAAATAATCTCGATTGTACCAATCATTGAAGCCCAAAAACGTATTATGCATGCATTTAACGATTTGGATGATATATTCCTTAAAGGCCCGATTTTGTTTGAAGAAATAATTTCATCAAATTTTAATATTTTTCGTTTAACCGGCACTTTTTCGGTAAATTTTAATTTAATTTTTAATAAAACTCAATCCTATTTAAAGCCAAATCCAAGTCCAATACCTTTTGATGAATTCAAAAGTTGGGAATCTTCATTTAGAGATAAAGGAATTATCAATAAAAGCTGGCATAAATATTTTTTAGTTGACAGACTTTTATGTGTTGGTATAGCTAAATCTTTGCCTGTTTTTGATAAATTGACTTTATCTGATCAGGTAATAGAAGCAATTTATATTTTGTATTTGGCTAACCTTTCCTCTCAGTTTAGTCCTTGGGTTTTTTACCAATTTGATTTGGAGAGCTTTATCCTTGAGCAGTTATTGGAAGCTCATACTGTAAGGATGTTTCACCTAGCAGCATTTAAAACGCTTAGGCGGGGGTTTAAGCCCCGGTAGCTCAGTGGTAGAGCTCCTGCATATAGTGAGCGAAAGCGCCTAGCAACAACTAGCAGGTTATCGCAATCCTGCCCGGTGGCTTAACTTTTGCAAACTCTTTCTGTACTAGAATTCGTACTCATACATGTTACAAGTAAGAGTGCGAGAAAAAAATTCGTTCCAAATCCCAATCACTGACTTTAAGTATGTATGTAATATTTTGGGATGAGTCTACCCTTAATGAGAAAAACATATTATCTTTTTTATAAATAGATTGCACAGCTAAGGCAGATTCGCCATTTGTTTAATTCATTTACAAACACCTACCTATCTTGGGAATTAGGCTCCGAAACCTGGACACGTAAAGATTATGTTACGCCTGCTCTTGGTATTATGAATAATAGTGAATATTTAAATGATGAAAAGTAAATATTTTTCTATGTAATAATTTTACTCAAAATTCCAATATTATTAATAAAATTCTACACGGTCTGGCAAATTTACCGCGTTCTAATTTTTGCCATACCTGTGCTCATATTCAGCAAAAATTGATAATTCTTCAGTCGGATGAAGAACTGATTTGAATTAAATAAACATTGTACTTATTACAAGTGCATGCCAAAATGATTTTATCCAAAAAATTTTGCTCAAACTTTGATAAGATTTATCAGACTAAATTATAAAATTTAAAGCCGTCTAAAGTGAGATATGGTACAGACAAAAGGGAAGGAAATTTGCCGGAACCTCGTAAAATAATTTAAAAAATTTTTAATTGAGAAGATATAGAATATACCTATTTTCAGGTTGCTTAAATGGGCAGATTATTCATTTACAAAATCTGTCGTTCACTTCAAACGTGTTGCATTAACAAACGTTGAATTTGCTTTGTTAATAGCTATTATTTTTACAAAATCGGGTAGAAATTTTAATTTCAAATAAGGGTTTATGGCTATGGTATACGCTCACGCCTATACATAGGAAATTTGCCGCACTCTTGTAAAATAATTTTAATTCGGGTCTCGGAACCAGTGATGTCAAAGTTCCAAAATTTCTCTGGAACTAGTTCCAGTTCCAGAACTAGTTTTTTAATTTTTGTAGTTCCAGTTCCGGAACTCAATTTTTGAAATTCCTTAGTTCTAGTTCCAGAACTACATAGTTCCAAAGCTATGTAGTTACAGACATTTACTAGTTCCGTAGTTCCAGTTCCGAGCTAGTTCCAGGCATTTACTAGTTCCGTAGTTCTAGTTCCGAAACTGGAACTTTGACAACACTGCTCGGAACCTGCCTAAACATGCCCCTCTAGCATTAAAATTTTTTAATTTTTATTTACATAACTTTAATTTTTTTCAAAAAAGATGCTAAAGACTTGTCTCCCGAAGGGAAAGAATTACTTTATAACGAATCTGTTAAATACACAAATATTTTACTTCGATATAATCAACGAAGATTAGGTTTAATTGAAGGAGCACAAAGATTGGATGAATGTTTTCGTTTAATTAATCGCAATATTGAAAATGAATATACTTTGAAGTTATTGCTCTCTCATCAACTTAAATATTATTCACTGGGTGTACATTACTACTTTAAATGCCCAAACTTTTTTAAAAAAATTTTGGAAAAAACTGATTAAACATAAATTACCGTATTTTCTCTAAAATAACCCCCCCTCTAAAATAGCCCCCCCCCCTCTAGAGGTCGATCGAAAAAAATAACCCCCGGGGGCTATTTTAGAGAAAATACGGTATTTTTAAAAATAAGTACTGTAATTATAACTTCTATCAATTTCACTTTTAATTTCCTCTCTAACAAAGGGTTACCCAGACTAATTATTCAATGAAATTAGAGTAGGTCGAGGCCTCGCAGAGGCCGAGGTCCTCGATCCTTTTCCTTTCTCTCGGACCTCGGCAAAAATTTGCCCCTCGACCGCGTTCTCTGTTTTCCAGTTTCGGTGATCATCGGCATCGGTTTTTTCAAAAAAACCTCGACCTACTCTACATGAACTATTTATGCACCTATTTTTCTGAAGTAATTTGTAAAATGTAATACTTATTTTTAACCTTTCTAAAATTTCTCTTTTTTTGACCTTAATTAAGGTTGGCGGATCCGGATCGAAAAAAGACTGAATATCCGAAACTTTCAGTGATATCGGTTCCGGATCCAGATATCCGAAGATTTTTATTATATGCCAATCCTTTTCCTTTTTAATGCAAATTATTTGGGAAATAAATATTTTTTTAATTTGGTTGGATTGGAAATGAACGACTAGGCGCCATAGTTTTATAATCTGACTTCCGGTGTCAAAAATAAAAAGTATTTTTTAATTGATCCTTTCTTTTTTGTGCAAGAATTTCTAATCATATAGTCCTCTAGGAAAAAGAATCATCACGTTCAGGGCTTTCAAATTACAAAATAATTATTCGAAATGATTGAAAGCGCAAAAAAATCCTTTATGATACTTGCCTCATGAAAAGAAGGAGGAAGGAAAAAGTAAAGAGGGAAGGAAAATGAAAAAATGGTCAGAAAAATGAGTGGGGGTATAAACCGAACAATTACCTATATTGGGAAAGAAAACCAGACATCAGTCCGGCCATCTGAAAATACGGATTCGCTCCCAGTCGTCGGTTAACCTTTTGAAATAGCTGAAGAAGAAATGGCCATAGCCAGCCTATATTAATATTTTATTTGAATTTTACTAGTTTTCCTTTTATTCATTAATTCTTAGGTTAGAATTCTTTATTTTTTCAACAAAAATCATTTTTTCAAACCGTAATTTACAGAATCGGATCTTTCAATAAATTTCCCCCATCCTCTTCTCCTCCCTCCCCCCCCTCCCCACATACCTCCTCCTCTATACCTTCACTAACTATTTAAATTTTCTATTTACCCCTCCTCTCCTCCTCCTCTTCACCTCCTCCCCTATCCTTTCACTCTCATTTCTTTAAAAAATTTTTAAATTTTTAAAAAATTCCCTCATCCCTCTTCTCCCCCCCCCCATCCCCACATCTCCTCCTCCCCTAACCCTTCACTAACTATGGAAATTTTCTATTCAATTCCCTCATCCCTCTTCTCCCCCCTCCCCCTCCTCACATCTCCTCCTCCTCTATACCTTCACTCTCATTCCTTTAAAAAAATTTTTTAAATTGATTATTAATATTTAATTGATTTTTATTTATATATATTTAAAAAAATTATTTAATTATTTAAATTTTCAAAGAAAACCTTCTTTGAAAAACAAATTTCAAATGAAAATATTAACTTCAAAGTTAATTTTACCTTTGTTATTTTTATTAGTATTAGATTTAAAAGGTTAATTTCCAAACAAATATATTTTTTAATTAATCAAATCTTAAAATCCTTAAACAAATTCACTCTTATTTAAGGATTGGATGCTGGTAATACTTGTCGAAAACAGAATTCGGCAGCTGGGGGAAGTCAACGATTGAACAAAGGAAAGAAGCCGATGAAAGCTAAAGAGAAAATTGGTGAAAAAATTTTGATTAAAACTAGAGAACGTCCGAGTCGAGCGAATTTGAGTTACTCGATTCGATCACTCGGGTTTTTTCGTCATTACTCGGCTGCTCGAACTCGGGTTTTTCAAACTCGGATTAATCGAGCTCGGAAACTTCCTACTCGATTACTCGGCTTGAATCATGTATTTTTATGCCCCTATCGGCGGCGAAAAATGGAAGATTTTTGGCTTCTTCTAAAGGATCTTCCGAATTTTTCAAAATTTTCGCCTGCGGCGCTGAAAAGGAAGACATGTGTATATCGGAGGATTTGAATAGAGTTAGGTGGATTTTAGTCATATCCGTTATAGGTGGATTAAGAAAATTACTGGGATTTGGATGCTGATCCACCGCATTACCGCCAAAAATGCCCAATACCCAGCTAGTAGAAGTATTGTTTTTATTAAAATTATTTTAAAATACTGTTTTATAAAAAATATTTGAACTCGGCCAAAAAAGTTGAGCTCGAACTCGGATTCTTAAAACTCGGATTACTCGAGCTCGGGTTTTCCCAATTACTCAGTACTCGACTTAATCTAATCAAAACCCATATCTATAGCTTTCAAGAATATGCCGAATTTAAATATTGGAAATTTTTGTAAACAATGGGCACATTTAATTACTTAATAAAAATACTTATCAAAACGGAAAAATAAAATTCTTTAATCAACTTTTCCCCGTTTATCTTTACGTAAAAATTTAATATTTAGCAGGAGAATCTTCCTCCCACCTAGCAGCGGATACAACAAGAGAATGTTATTGTGGGAAGAAAACAATTGTGGAAAAAGTAACTTTTAAATTAAAAAATAGAGATAAAGAATTTGCTACAACTGAATTATTTGTTGTAAAACCCCGAATATATACTGGGAAGGAAGGAGAAGTAAAAATTTACCATGCAATATGGCCTGAGAAAGAAAGATGTGTTGCAATTAAATCTTTAATTAAAAATAGTGATGAAACGAAAGATGCTGTAAGAAAAGAAATTGCTGTTCTCGAACATTTTTATGGACCGGGTGAAAACAAAAAGATTAATGGACCTATTCGCATTGTAGAATATTTTGGACAGTAAGCTCTTTTAGTATAGCTGAGTAATTCTAGCTTTATCATGTTTTTCACCTAGTACCGTATTTTTCCTAATAGTGCGACTCTTTCTATTAGACCGACCCCTTCTAATAAACCGTCCCCCTAGAGGAAGATTGAAAAGTCTCTATTAGACCGAACCCTTTACTTTTTTGGTTCTAGAAATAAGGTCTAACACAGGGGTCGAAATTTCGACTTTTTTCTCGTTCGACTTTTTAAAGTTTTCTTTTTTTCGCTAGTTAGAGCATTTGGAGAGCTTTCGATTGATATATCACATGTCAACCATTTACCAATAATTTTCGAGATATTTCGATATATTTGCTAAAAATCAGTAATTTGACTACCCCGAATTTTTCGACCATAACTCCTACTATTCTTAACAAAAAATTTTAAAATTTTAGAGGCTGTTAGAGGACAGTCTAATTAATATATGTACAAAAATTCATGATCATAGACTGCAAATCTACAAAAATTCAGCCTCCTAAACTTTTAATAAAAAACGAAACTAAATATGTTACAACCGAATATTAAAACGACCCCCTTACTTCCAGCGTTAATGTTGTGTCTTTTATGTTACTGAAGCACGGATGGTACTCGGGTACCGACAGTATTTTTCGGTACTTATAGAGGTTCCTACCGTAGTATGGTACGTTACAAAATTCTGGGCTCTAGTTTTAAACACTTTTAATAAGACTTTTGAAATGTTTTATCACTAAAATTAAAGATATCAAAACTTACATTTTATATTTGCGAATAAGCGGCATAATAAAATATAAAAATTTAACGGTGAATTTTTATAAATGTTTTCTCTTTCAAAGAACATATTCAGATCATTT